TCTCAGCTCACTGCAACCTCCACCTCCCACGCTCAAGCAATCCTCCCACCTCAACCTTCTGAGTAACTGGAACTACAGGTACGTGCCAACACACCCAGCTAATTTTTGTGTATTTTGTAGAGACAGGGTTTCGCCATGCTGCTCAGACTGGTCTTGAACTCTTGAACTCAAGTGATCCACATACCTCGGCCCCCCAAAGTGCTGGGATTACAGGAATGAACTGCTGTGCCTGGCCATTTTATAGCCCTTTAAACTTTTTTTCCCCCTTAACTGTACTAGGGAAAGTATTAGTTTCTTCCCCCTTAATCTGTGAGGATCAGATGCAGTGTAAAGTGGCGAAGAATGATGGCTAGCATGGAGTAGGTGGCCAGCAATATACTTTAAAAATGACTCCAGTCCTCTAAGCCTGGCTCATAGGAGACTCATGGGCCATTCCCAGAAATAGAAAAGATAGACAGAGGAGATGGTTAACGAGTAGGAGGTGAATTACATTTTGGTTATGTTGAAATTTTCGTCTGAACAAGATAGTCCAGTAGGAGGTTGCCACAAACTGATATGCATCTAGGAGAGAAGCCAAGGCTGGCTAGAGAATCAGATCTGGGACCCATCCAATGAGAAATGGTAGTTACATTAGTGAGAGCAGAGCCGCTGAGAGTACTGAGGCAGAACAAATGGATTATGGGCAGACATACATTTAAGGGAGAGAAGAATGAGAGAAATAAGCACAGGAGTGGCCAGACAGGTGAGACAAATAGAAACTAGTACAGAAAGGTAGAGAATATTTAAGACTGTTATTTGGTGATTTTAAAGTTTTTGAAGATGTGTTGTTTTGTCATTATCCTAGAATTGGTGTCATTACTAGAGAGGTTTTATAATAGCCATTAGAAAACTGTAAGCTGCATTTTGTGATTTATACATTAAGTTAAAAGAAATAAAATGTCACTTTTAGAAACTAGAATGACGATACACACACATATATACATGTATGTCATGAGAAATTATCATAGTATTTGAAAAGGGTAGTTGTGAAAATGTTTTCAAACGTATAATCTAAAACCTTGCCCTAATTATAGTCCTGGGAGAATATGTAGTGCTGTGTGATGAGGACAGCACAAAAAAAAGACTGAATAAGGCAGTCTTGGGTTCAAATCCTGTGACCTTAGAAAAGTTACTCGTGGTTGAGGTACCGCCATTTTTTCTTCTCTAATATCCCTAAAATCCCACCACTAAATTAATAGTAGCATTTATTGTGTGATAATTAAGTGAGACAATGTATATGAAGTACATTGAACAGTACTCAAAACATAGTAAATGTTACCACACTATTATTGTTTCTGTGTTAAGTGTTGATGATTATCTTTTGCATTCCTTCTTGTGCTTTAGTTTTAACACTAGGTGGCAGCAATGCTCTCATAACCAATTAAAATGATGCTTGCTAATTTTCTGGCGTAGAAGAGATGGGTGAAGCCTTACCTAATAGGAAGATGTGTGTAGGACACCAGCAAAGCAGGGGGAAAAGATGAACAGAGATAGCAATAGAGATATGTATAGAGACATCAACAGAGACAGAGATAGAAATAGAGGGAAAGAGGGAGAGAGAGAGGAAGAAATTGTAGAAAGAATTTGATATTTCAAAAGGATATACTGAAATAGTCATTGTGAGGAAACCAGATCTCTTTTGGATATGCACCTTCCAGAAAATTGTATTATTTTAAAATACATACAGGGAAGTGGCAGATACCATGTATTTTTTTGTGTTGACAATATTAAGGATCTTAAGTGGTCCTGGATGGCAAATGTCTGTAAAGTGTAATGTGTTTTACTGTTCATTTTAATTTTAGCATTAATCTTAATTACAAAACTATGACCATTTTCCTCTATATAAAACATTCCTTCTACAATAAGATATTTAGTGGTATTTATTGCTATCTAATGCTATCTATTGTTGTGTAACCATTATCTCAAAAGTTGGTAGCTTAAAATGAGGAAATAATGATTTCTTTTTTTTTTTTAAATTGAGACAGGGTCTCATTCTGCCACTCAGGCTGGAGTGCGGTGGTGATCATGGCTCACTGCAGCCTCGACCTCGTGGGCTCAAGGGATCCTCCTGCCTCAACCTCTGGAGTAGTTGGGGCTACAGGTGTGTGCCACCACATCCAGCTAAGTTTTTTTCTACTTTTTGTAAAGATGGGGTCTCACTATGGTGCCCAGGCTGGTCTTGAACTCCCAGGCTCAAGCGATCCTGCTGTCTCAGCCTCCCATAGTGTTGAGATTACAGGCATGAGCCACTGTGCCCAACTATGATGAATCTTTATTATCCTATATTTTCTGAAAGCCAGGAATGCTGGGGTGACTTAGCTGGGTGGTTCTGGCTCAGCATTTCTCATGAAGTTTCAGTCAAGACCTCAGTTGGGCTAAAGTTATCTGAAGGCTTGACTGGGCCTCGAAGAATCTGCTTCCAAGATGGTTCAGTCACATGGTTGGTGGCAAAAGCTACAATTCCATATGAATTTCTCCATAAGGCAGCTTGAGTGTCCTTTCAAATGGCAGCCAGTCTCGCCTAGGGTGAGTGACCCAGGAGAGACTGCAAGAAGGAAGCTACAATACCTTTTATGACCTTATCTCAGAAGTCATACGCTGTAATGTCCACCATATTTGTTCACAGCGAGTCACACAGGAAATAACAAAACACAATTGTCAGGAATTTTATACATATGCTGGAAATGGAGTTCCTGTATAAATAAATCACAGGCATGACCTCTTCCAGTGTGGCTCTGGACCTATTTCTACATCTATAAAAAGAGATCATGCCATGGAACCATGAGGAACTTCAATTCTAAGGTGGCCTGTTCCCTATCTTGATATAACCTCAAATAACTTCTCTGTCTCTGTTTTTTCATCTCTAAAATAAAATCACCTAAGAAATTGCCTTTCAGATTTTTTAGACCCATTGTAAGGGCTGTACATTGAGCCTGAACACACACACATGTATGCGTGTTTTATATATAACAGAAATGAAAGTGCCACAAATCAATACCTTCTTACACTTATTTGTGTGATGTACTCTAATTTTATTCGCCGTTCTATGCTAACTCATTTTTAAAAATTCAGGCCAAAGGCCGGGTGCGGTGGCTCACGGCTATAATCCCAGCACTTTGGGAGACTGAGGCGGGCGGATCACGAGGTCAGGAGATCGAGACCATCCTGACTAACACGGTGAAACCCCATCTCTACTAAAAATACAAAACTTAGCTGGGCGTGGTGGCGGACGCCTGTAGTCCCAGCTACTCGGGAGGCTGAGGCAGGAGAATGGCATGAACCCAGGAGGAGGAGCTTGCAGTGAGCTGAGATCGCGCCACTGCACTCCAGCCTGGGCGACAGAGCGAGACTCTGTCTCAAAAAAATAATAAAAAAATAAAAATTCAGGCCAAAATCTGTAGTACACTGGTCTCACAGTCCATAGAAGGTTTCAACATTCTTTGTGGAAGGAAAACATCTGCCCTTACTCCTCGGTGCTCACTTTTCATTGGTGGTAGAGCAGAAATGCTGAAGAGCGAGTGAGTGAGTCCTCACCTTCCAGTCTCTGGGAGGCACAAAAGCACCTTTGAAAGATGGGTCAGCCCCGCGAGCCTACTCTAATTAGAAGAATCAGAAGTTGCTTGTCAGGTGGAAAGGTTACTGTGTTTATTTTTATTTTTATTTATTTATTTTTTGAGACGGAGTCTCACTCTGTTGCCCAGGCTGGAGTGCAGTGGTGCCAATGGTGCGATCACGGCTCACTGCAACCTCAACCTCCCAGGTTCAAGCAATTCTCCTGTCTGAGCCTCCTGAATAGCTGAGACTACAGGCGCGTGCCACCACACCTGGCTAATTTTTATATTTTTAGTAGAGATAGGGTTTCACCATGTTGGCCAGGCTGGTCTCGAACTCCTTGACCTCGTGATCCGCCCCTCGCGGCCTCCCAACGTGCTGGGATTACAGGCATGAGCCACGCGCCTGGCCCATCCACCGTGCCCGGCCCATCTGTGTTTATCTTTAAAAGTTGGCTTTGGAACTTGCCATGTGACTCTGGGAAGTCCTTTAACCATCCTGAACTCATTCGTCGGCACCACAATTGGAATAATGAGTAGTATCCTTCTTGCCTATTTCATAAAGTTGTTATTAGGCTCACAGTCAATTAGGCACTTATCACGTGGTGAAGAATCTCAGGACAGGATATTTCATCCTCACAACAACCCTCTAAGATTTAGAGCATTATCTTTGTTTTATAGATGAAGAAATTGATGCTTAGAGCAGTGACATATGTGAAATCTTAAAGTTAAATCTTAAGTGGTAGAGCTAGAATTCCAAACCTATTCTGACATCAAAACCCTCATCCAAAATGGAAATGTAAGCTCGTTTCATTTGACCACAAGGGGTGGCCATCTGATGTATTCAAATGAAGAAATACGCAGTCACCACAGTGTAATAATGACTTTAGAATCTGATGCTGTCTTGCTGTGAACACGAACACCTAAAATATCACACGTGGGCTTTGAGCTCACTGCCTTCGCCCACTGCAGCGTGAGAACGCTGGCAACAGGGCTTCGGTTCCCCAGATGTTAGCAGCCAGGACTGGGTACATTTCTTGAAATGGCGCCCCCAAACAAAGTCCAGATCGCTTGGATGCAGCCCCCTACATTGGAAAGCGTCCTTCCCAGGAAAGGTCTGGCTTACAGCCCTCTCTTTGGCTGGTTGGCTGGGTTCTGAGAGCGCTGCCTGCCTGTAGCCAGAGAGCTGACCCCGCGGGGGCGCGTCTCCCGGGCCCGGCGTCCCCTCCCTGACGGGTGGCGCGGGCCCCACAAAGCCCTTTATTGAGGCTCCGGCGTGACGCGGGGAGCCCCACACTCCGCGCCCGCCGCGAGCGGGAAGGAGGCGTGTGCCCGCGGCGCGGCCCCGAGGCGTGTGCGCGGCCATGTGCGGTTAGCGCGGCGCGCTCTGTCCTCCTTTTCCCGGCCGCGACCCTCTGAGCCCCTCGAGTCCGGGTAACCAGGCCGCCAGCGCCGGCTCGCTGGGACCCGCCACCCTGGAAGCCCCGCGCCCGCAGCGCGTTCCTGGCGAGTCGGAGGCAGGGTGGGGCTCCAGCGTGGGAAGGAGCCGAGGCTGAGGCCGGTCCCTTAGCCGCGGGCTCTGTAGGCTGCCGAGGCCCCCACCCGTCCCGGGAACCGGTTCCTCCCGGGCTCTGCGCGTCCAGGGAAGGGAAGGAGACTCGCCCCGAATCGGCGTGCAAGGGCGGGGCGCGGGAGTGGTGCTGAGAGTTTTGAATGAGGGAAAACCTGGAAAGAATTGTTCTGCTCAAAGTGCCCGGGCTGGGGCGGGTGGTTCCTGTGCAGGCAGAGCCTTTGGTCGCTCAGCACTGCCACGGTCAGACACATTTTGGCGCAGCGGTGTTGGAGCTGGTTTGGCAGGCTCAGGCAGGGGCAGAGAGCACGACACCGAAACTTTGTCTCAGGATGATGAAACTTGCCTGGCATTTTCTTCTTATTCGGTGGCAAGAAATGAAAAAATGAGTTCATGGAAAAATGAAAGAGAACACGGTTTTACATTTGGGATTCAAGTTCAATGAACACTTATTAAGGACTTTCTGACATTCAGAAAATTTTTTTTCTATTGTTTGGCTACAAAATATTCATGTGAGAAGCATTAATTAGGTGCGTTGCAATCATTTCAGGTAAAGTGAACAGAGTTATCTGTGACATTCCATCAGGCACCTTTATGTAAGGAAGTCGTACTGTAATAACTCGCCATGGCGTATGGATTGCCAAGAAAGAACACAGTGAAAACCATTTTGCGGGGCAGTTGTTATAATGTGTAAGTATATATATATATATTTAAAATCAGGGTAAGCATTGACTGGGCTGGGGAGTGTCTTTGTTAAGTAAAATGACTGGACACTCTATGCTCCTCATGAGATACTGGGCTATATGAAGTATTTTCAGGTGTCTGGGTTCTGAATTTTTTTTTTTTTTTTTAAGGCAACTGCTTTTATAAGTTAATCCCATACCTGATTATCTTACTTGGTCTTTACAACACAACAACACTTTCAAGTGAGAAAACTGAGGTTCAGAGAAATTTGATCAAAGTCACAGTCCTGTAGTAAGGAAATGTCAGGGCTAGACTCGGGGTCTTCTTGTTCCAAGACAGCATTTTCTGCTTCCACCCACATCTTTTAAAAAAATTTTGTTTAGATCCTCCGCGTCTACCAAAAAAATGCCCCGGTGTCAGATGTATCTTAACAGAGCACCTAAGTAGCTGGTAGAAAGGGTTGGTTTTGTATCCTGTATACTTTGGCAGGCAGTGGATGGTTTCCAATCAAGAAGACCTGGACTCTAAGCCTGGCCCTGCCCCCAGTTCCCTAAGGCCACCTTCTTCCCCCTTGATCTCTGCATTTGCAAGATGCATATAACAATTGGCTATGCGGTGTGGATTATAAATGAAGTCATGTATGTAAAGTACTTGCACATTGCCTGTCATCCAGTGAACGCATCGTGAGCACGTGTTGCAACCACACACTAGTTTCACTCTGTGATATTGTAGTGCAGTCTTTTCCTTTCTTAAACATTTGATTAGGTGTCAATTGAATTTGTCTTTTAAACAGTATTCTATGAAGTAAATGAAGATTCCCTATGGGATTATAAAACCAGAGCTATAGGAAATTCAGAGAAGACTCACTGTTGCATTTTGTTTAGTTTTGTCAGTTTAGTATGTGTTTAGACCTTGAACTATGGACAAGTACCATTATACTAAGTATCATTATAAACATAATTTTTATGTGAAGATACTCCTATTTCTGAGAATGACTTAAAGCACTGATTCCATGGTTTTAGTTATGCAGGACTTTATGTCATGAACAATCTCTGTAACACCAGAGATTTCATTCTCTTTCATTCTCTCAAGATAGTATTTGATATCATACTATTTATAAGAATAGCCAAGTCAAGGGGAACAGAATGGTAGTAGCGCTCTTTAGAGTTCATTTGCCAAGGTAACTCCCTACCCGGGGCTTTTTTTTTGATTCAGTGTTTTTAAAGGATTGTAAAAACAATACACTAAAAACATCTAGCGTATGAAAGGTAGATAAAAATGATATATCTCCCCGTTCCCATTCCTGATTCCCACTCAGAGGTACAATGTCTTATATGTTTTCTAGAATTTCTGTGGCTACACAAGACAGATACACACATGTATACACACACACATAAGTCTTTTTAACACATGGAATCATACTGAACTTTGCTCTGCCCACCGCCTTCCAATATATCTTGTATAGCCTAATAGGCAAGAGCACTGATTCTGGAGTCTGACTTCCTGGGTTCAGATCCCAACTTCAAAACCAATGGCTTTGTGACCTTGGGCAAATTGTTCTCTGCACCTCAGTTTCCCTCCCTCCCTCCCTCCCTCCCTCCCTCCCTCCCTTCCTTCC